ATTAACTAAAACAAGGTTCATTAGAAACGCATCCCCAAAAGAAGGAACCCTGAGAATCAGGAAAAGCGTGCACAGAATACAAAAAATATTTTCTGTTTTAATTACGTGCCTCCCTTTAACTGAAAAATACTTTGATTAAACTTTCATTAAAGTGGAATTCAATAAAGTTATCAAAACATAGCACGTGATTCAAGAAAGGGTGCATCGTGGATAAGTATTTTCGGATCTGCTCAGCACTAGGACCAAGCTGTGCTGCACCCTGCTTCCAGGAGCAAGGCTTGCCCAAGAGCCTGCACCACCAGCACCAGGCACACCAGGGGTGCTCCCCTCGTGGTGTAGGCAAAGGGGGGAACAGGGAAGGTGTAAGCCCAGCTCTGAGCTGTGGGATGGGGACGGACAGGGGGATGAGCAAGCAAGGACGGAGAACCTCCCACCACCCCCGATGAGCAGCTCTCCCGGTACACACCTGAGAAGCAACCACTAATGACAAGGTTGCACGATCAAAGCTGACAAATTTCCAAAGCAATTTGTAAGCATTAAGATCTTTCATCTCACAGGCAAGACAAACAGTACTGTGCATCTTCAGTGAAGAGTTAAATTTGAGTAGAAAAGAGAAATGAAACTTTTCTATTGTTGAACAAATCATTTGTATCACCCAAAAAAAAAGTCTGGCTTCCTAACCTTCTACCTTAAAAAGGAAGCCACAGAAAGTTACACCTTGCTTGTAATTGTTTCTGCCCTAACATTAGCATTATTTCATTTAGCAAGAGAAGTCACTCTTTGAAATATCAGCATCAATCCAGAGACCAGCTTATGAGAAGCAATTACTTTAGGTTATTGATTTGAAGCTTCAAGGGAGATGTATCTAGTTTGTTTTTGGATTTAAAAAAAAAAAAAAAAATGAATAATTATGTTAGAGATAGCATTTCATTTTAATGCTAGGGAAGTTGTTGGAGGGGTTTTCTGCCACTGCCTTGAAGAGAAGAGTAAATAGCAGAAACATGCAGACCCCGAGGTGCGTGCGCACAACTCTCCGAACAGCACCGTGCAGACACGCGATGGGAAGCCTAAGGCTCCCCCTGACCTAGAAACAGCTTGAATTTGCATACATAGCTAATGAAAAACAATGCAAAAGTGTTGTCAGTAGCACCCACTCTTTACATAAAACTTCATGTTGACAAAGTATTAACTCCAGATGAAAAGTGGCAGAAAGCTTCGCAGGGAATGGAGATCTTATCTTCAGTCGCGGTGCTGTTAAGAGCTACACAAAGCACCTTAATCCACAGACCCACAGTCTTTCTTACAGTCTGTCAGATCAGAGAATCCAGAGCTTTCCAAGCACAGATCCTCACAAGAAATCCTAATCCTCCCCTGGGAGAGGGGAGTAAGGTGTGGTGGGAGGAGATGAGCCCAGAGCCTGACCCACTGCACCCCAAACCCTGCCCAGTGCTGGCCCAAGCGCCAGAGCAGACTGTGTTCTGCCAAGAACTCCTTGTCTCTTATCAGCTCACTCTATCCATGAATTATCTTAAACTGGGAAAAAAGAAAAAACAGCTTTCTTTACAATTGTTACCCCTACAGATAGCTTTGTAGTGGTGCAGTTACCCTGCAGACCCCACTACCTGACCCATAAGACTGTAAGGCTGACACTGACTTGTTGTCTTTTTGTAAGACACGAACAAAAGTTCTGATCTCAGCAGTTCACAGATTCAAGGCAGAAATGGGGAAATTCTTTCCTTTCAGGAAAGTGTTGTCCAAGATGATTTCCAGCCAGTGGTACCTGAAGAAGGTGGGTGAAGGTGTCCCCTCCTCCCTATCCAGAGGAGCCCAGGCGATGCTTGCAGTGGTGTGACTGAGTGCTTGCACCTGCTCAGGAGGCATGGGATGGTCTCACTTGCTCTCAACATGAGCATTTAACTGCAGATGCTTATGTAGCAAGGATTCCTCAGCAGCAAGACATGAACACTTTAACTGCAACCATCATTTTTGGTGAACTTTCAGCAATATGAGCAAAAAAGCTGTGTTTTGCAATAAGGGCTGCTGTGGGAGGGCTGCACCCAAATCAATTTGCCATGTAGCTAAAGCTGGTCTTGAAATAACTTCCCGACACATTATGTTCTGTGAGAAATTATTTTCACCTGCGAAGAACCACAAAGTCAAAGGAAGGTCTGTCTGTTCATAAAAGCCAGGAGGAGCTACGAGAGGCAAGCTGCAGAGCTACGAGCACCTCTGAGCAGCGCAGGAGGAGCTCACAAGTCCTGTGCCCCCCATGCCAGGGGATGCTGATGCCATGGGGCAGCCCCTGCCTGCCAGCAGCTCAGACACCTGAAAGCTCCTTGGAGCACCTGCATCCCTTTGGTCCATGTGGATTGGCACCCTTACAGCAGCTCCTGCAGCCTGCCTTGAAGCAGGTCATGTGCCATGACACAAATAAGGGTCTGAACGTAGCTTACCATCAAAAATAACTAACTTACACCTAGGGCTTGACAGGATGGCTGGCACGCTCCAGCATCATTTCAGTTATGGGCAGCAGAGAAATCTGGTTTCTTTAGATTATGTTCCATACTTGAATACGTTCAACTGTTTTAGAATAACGTTGGACAAATACAAAAACAGTTTCAAAACACCTAGATTTCAGGTCAGGTTAGAAGCTATCAATTCATTAATTTCATAGTAGAAATATACACGTTTTTATTTAGGCACGAATAAAAAATGATTAGCCTGCCTAATAGGTGATCTTCTAATATAAATTAAATTGTGGACCAGCTTCACAGTGTTCTTGGTACAGCTGTGTTTGTAGCAATGCTCCTCCTAACAGTCAAATATGAGGGTCAACAATCAGAAAATGAGTTTAAAATTTAATTGCCTCAGAAAGCAGAACAAAGTAAATTGCTAAGGTTAATGCTGGCTTTTAATGAATTATCATCAGCTTCAGAGCATCCGCCTTTTGCAGCAAGGGCACGGGGCAGATTGGCTGCGTGAGGACATGGAGAGCAGGACAGACACCTACCGCGTAGGGGGAGATGTCAGCGCGGTTCTGCAGCCCCTGCACCACAGGGGGGAAACACGTTGCCTGAACCAGACTGCTACAGAGCAGGAACAAACCTGCAGTAACAACAGAAGAGAAGCCAACCCAGTGGAAAAAAAATCAATGCTGAAAATGTGGGATGAGAAGAAGAAAGAGGCACAACATTGCACTTGCCAAGTTGCCTATTTCTGAAAGCAAATAAGGATCAGAACAAAAATCTGTAAGTGTGAGAATTTTCTATTTGTAAGTACACAATCCTTTTCTGCAAGATTTCTGCGCATAAATACCTGTAGAAAACCAGCCTTCCATGAACCACACCGTGTGCATTTCAGATTTTTAACAGTTTTCTTGAAGCTTTCTGCTGTACTAGCAGGATTCCTGCCGATGCAGGCAGTACAGCAGGACACCTCCTGCCCTGGGCCCGAGCTCTGGCCACTACTGGCCACCAGGCACCACGCACCAGTCCCCAGCCACCATGGAAGATCCCAGCCTGTGCTGGCAGTGCCTGCCCCAGGCAAGCCCCCAGAGACTCCCCTGCTCAGGAACCTCCAGTCCTAGGGACTGAAAATGGCCAAAGCAGGCTTTGCCTGCACTTATTTAACATTTCCCCAGTTGTTGCCAATTTCCATGAGACATCACACGACGCAGCTGATGTAAACCACAGTAACCAGGTGTGACAACTAACAACGTGGTATTAAATGATGTAACAGCTCTGGGAACTGCAAAACCCCCAAAACCAGCAGACAGCGTTGCTTGCTGGATCCCATGGCTAAGAGGCGTGTAGAGCTCTCCCTAACTCATGTAGTATTTATATCCTGGATGGCAAAATAAATATTGCAACAAATGATTTTTTTTTCCTATTCTTTGTTCTCTCTGCCATACCTGCAGGTTTTATTTCTTCTTCTTCAAGAAATCTATAAGAGAGTCTGCTCAAATGAGCAATTAGGCTTATCTCGCTTGCCCCATTTAAGATCACGCTATGATCGTTCTCACTGTGAAACAGTTTGACTACATAAAACTTTACAGCCAGGTGGATCTGTTTAGTTTATAACATAAAAATATGCATATTATGGGGAGGAGGAGACCACAGTAAGAACCTGAAATCACTACGTGTTTTTTCACACTTTTCCCTGGAATTATTCCCATTCTGTAAAATGAAGCAAGTCTTGCCATCTGTCTGCAAAATCCTCTTCATCTCAACCTGTGATGTTTCAAAGCCACTGCCTTTGCTACTGGTCTACATAAACCTCAAATTGCTGCAGAAAGTGCAAGTACCAAAAAAAATAAAAATAAAAATAATGAAATAAAGGTAGAAAAGGTCCCCGTAGGTATTGGGCCATCTCCAAAACTGCTTTAACCTGCCCATTACCACCTGTGTCCAGACCAGCCCTGGCACCGATGGGCAGATGACACCCCCTACATCCCAAAAACCTTTCCTGTTTTAATCTGTTGTCCCAGTACAGTTTCTTTGCTTTTCCAATGGAGAAACGAAGCTCTCCCAGCAGCACAGGTCTCCTGTGCAGAGCTGTGTCCCCGGAGGATGGGGAGGGCTGGAAAAATCCCCAGAGTCTGCTTGGAAAGCATCCCAGCCCACCTGGGAAACCAGGACTTTATCTGAGACGAAGGATGGCTGGAGCTAATGAACACTTTGGGCAATGTGCTTTGGGTTAATTAACCTGCTTATTGGCTGTGCTGTAACCAAAGTGAGCTGCTTCCGAGGCAAGCAGTTAGATGTGACAGAACACATAGCTATGATGATCCAGGAAATTCTAGTACTAGAAGATGCACCAAGGAGTGCAATGCCAGCCCTGAGCAGAGCAGGGATGCACCCAGGGATGCCCAGGAACACCAGGCTGCTGGGACTGCCTTCACGTTAAGGGCTGACATGGGGTCTGCCTTTGGAAAGCAGTAAAAGAGTCAGGGTGCAGAGTTTTTCTTTGGTTACCAAGGTCACTCTCTGATAGAAAATTACCTCTATGTGGATTTAATTTCCTGCAGCTGCTGCAGCGAGGGCTCCTCCTGTAGCCGGGCTCCCTGGCAGCAAGCGGTGCCGAGCACAACGCGTCCTCCGCCCGCTGGGGTTGGTGCACTGCGCCTCGGTGACTCCTCCACAAAGCACTGCTCTTGTCTCTGGGGCTGCAGAAACAAGGGAAAAAACACAAAACCATCACAATTACTCTATTATTATTTGTCACATTTCTTAAGTGACTGGCAAGGTTCCTTCCTCAGTTATGGAGCACTTTTCCTGCCTTCTTTTTCTCATCCCCATCCTCCAGTCTGACACCTGCCTTTGTCTGCCCTACCCCTCAAACTGAGAAATACATGAAATTCATAACTACAGCTATCTCTGGCCCCAAAAAAGAGCCTTTATTCCTTTTACAACCCAGATTACTTCGAGGTGTTGCTTTCATTGCTTTATTTTTTATGCTGGGAAAATAGAGGGCAGAAGTTACTTGAGGCTGAGCGACTTGCAGCCTGGGCAGAGAAGTGCCTTCAGGCCGAGGAACCCTTATTTTCAAGAGCTAGCAAGTGTTACCTAGACTGGGGGAGAAGCCTTCTCATGGGTACAGCCCAGTGAGTGAGCCCCTGGTGCACTCTTAGCTGTGAAAGCCAGAGCTCCTGCTCCACAGTCCTAAATGGGGTTCCCCATTTAGAAACTGCCGAAAGCCATCGTTCTTCATCAGACTGTCACCCAGACTTCTTTACCCCCAAAAAGCCACATTTCTGATACAGAACGTTAACAATCAATTTACTGTGAAAACAAAAGGGAAAACATGCTGAAAAGGCTTACAGCTCTTCTTCACGGAAACCTCACACACCATAATGGCATGGTTTCATCTGTTGTATTACAGAAATCTGCTTGCAATTATTAGACTTATTTCATATTTTAATGTAATTATGTTTGGCCTTTGCTCTAATAAATCCTTGAACCAGAACTGGAAGATAAGAAATTCAAATACCCTAAGCCTGCTAAAGATAAAATGCTGAAAGAAAGGTGATGTTGCTTAAATAGCTTGGCTTAAAAATCAATACAGAATACATTCATAAATTAACAATCACTCTAGACTAAAACATTTATTGCTGGAGGAACACTGCATAATTAAACTATGGGAATGAATAACAAATTAAAATTTAATTTTAATTTTTTGGGTTCCTTTTTAAGCCTGTAGTTAAAAAAAAAAAAAAAAATCCCTTTGCTACATCTGACTATTTCTACGGGAGAAAATTATGTGCATTATTTGGTCATGACTCCCCCAACTGTTGTTCTTCAAAGGTCAAGCTCCAGTGATTTTAAATTGGGTTTTGGCAAACTTTGGAAACACGTAGGGTAGTTTTGGGGCAACTGGCATAGTTTGAGAAAGAGAGAGGGGGAGAGAGAGAGAAGTGAAATGTTGCATTTATAATTAAGAAAAGGAAAATTCAGATTAGCTGAAGCGTTTAAAGCCCACTTGACCTTGACTGCCCCGTGTGAATTGCTGCACTGAGCTGAGAATTTCCATCCAGCCCCGGACCCCGCAGGCATCCCAGTGGTGGCACCACACCACAGCAGCCTCATCAGCCTGCGGACCTCTTAAGCTGTGTTGTGCTCAGTGCGGCACCAAATATCACTTGTTTTCTTGAGACAGCAAGAGAACCATATCAAAATACTCGAGTTGTTGTGTTTTTTTTTTCCACCTTAGTTTTTCTAGGAGGTTTTTCTCGGGTTATAATCACATGTTCATGCACAGAGCTGTTTCAGACTAGAGGAAGAAGCAAAGGAAATGCAATTGGGATGGTTATTGTTTGCTCCTCAGAAATGGGAAAGGGATATAAACCTGCGGGAGCGCAGTACAGGATCTAATTCTTTTTTCTTTTCTCATTTCACGTTCCATTTTACCTCCCTTGGTCAAAATCATCTCTCTCTGTTCAGCATGAGGTGGCACTGATTAATCTAGCGCATAGAGAGGGTTAGGAGGAAGAATAATTACAAGAGGCAAATATGATATGTTGGCTACACCACTTACATTGTATAGGCACCTTTGGCCTTACAGCTGCAGCCCAAACAGCGGCAATTGCTGCTTTTCCAGGTAAAACATGCTTTGTGTTAAATGAGGCAGGGGATGGCGTAAGGTGGGGTGGAAAGGACAATTAACTTCTATAAATAATCAGAGAATTTCTCATAAATGTGCTGGCTATTCTGCAGATTTCCCCGGATATATTATAACCAAAGCACCTCCTGTTCAAACACCAGTCTCTTCAAATATATCTATTATCAGTCACTCAGTGATGAGGTGAACACTGAATAGTCACACAGAGGTAAATCTGAGGAAATTAATTCCATTCACAGAGCTGCCAGAGAACTACGATACAGGATTTTAGTATTTTAAGACCTATATGGTAGTTATTCACTCCCCGTGGGAAAGGAGATCCATGATTTAGATGTTTTGGGAGGGACTGATTCGGATGCATAAAAATGGAAGTGGCTCTCTTTTAGATTTAGGAAGATGTCAGTACAGGACAAAAATGTCTATACTGTGAACATCACATTTAAGAACATCATTAGGAGCTCACTTGACCTTTCCAGCATGGGTCAATGCTTACAAATACCAGTTCATCAGAGAAATTAAAGTCAACAAAGAAAGAGGGCCCTTTTCCTCAAACTTTTTGGTGTGTGGAGGGGAAGGGTCAGCGATCGTCTTCTGCAGCAGATGCAGCAGGGTTACACAGATTATCTTTGGGTTGCTCTCTTCATGAGAAACATTAACTCTCAGCAAGGAAGAATCATTGGAAATGTCTTTCTTAAAATGAGAGGAGGAAGCTCATCAGTATGCTTGGAGGAGTCTGATGAAGCAGACAAGGAGCAGCCACATTTGTACGGTCCTCTCTCATGGGGTTAGCGATGACAAACCAGAGAATGGTTTTGGTGCATCCTAAGATCATCCCAACAAGCAGCTGTCTGCTCTACCCAACATGACAGAAATTAAGAAAAATATTTGACAGAAAATAAGACACATCAAAGCCCTGTTCCTACTTCCCCCCCAGTAACCACCCACAGCCACTGCTGCACGCACACTTTCTGATGATGGTCAGACCCAACACAGCTGCTTTGTTCTTACTTATCCCTGTGGAGGCACTGGACCCAAACGAATCCTTGTGGTACTTTTTCACTTATTAAATTAGATGAGATATTCAAAGATTCATAGATTTTAGAGCCAGAAGAGACCATTATGGTCTATTCAAACTCATGCATCACACAGGCTATAAGTTTCATCAAGTGATTCCTGCATGAAGACTATAATTTATAACAGAGCAAGAACATATTTTAAAGAAAGAAATCGAAGTTCTCTGTAAAAAGGTCAGTTACTTCATGTAGGATGAATGACAGATGGGGCCCAACAGCATAAACACACACAGCACTTTTTTGATACCAAACTACTTCTCAAAATACATTTTTCCTTACACATTAGTTTTGCCCACTGTAAGATTAAAAGCATAGTGCAAATACAGCCCTGGAAGGATTTCCACCTGTAAATACCCTAGCATTTCTTTTCCCCTAATGCATGCTAGAAAGAATATTACGTGGAAAAGCAAAACATAGTCGCTACTGAGCATTAACAAAGCAGCTAACCAGTGAGGCTGTTCACCCAGATAGATAATTCTTTTCTTTTAATGCAAAGCGTTGCTTGATATTTTACAGGCACTTAGCCAAATAAGCAACACACTCTCTTCATGCACAGGAGAAGGAACATATTTTATCCGTAAGGATTTACAGCTTCTGAAAACAAATGGCACCCTGGGCCACACTAACCGGTACGTGCTGAAATGAATAGCCTTACAGCGTGGAGATGATGTGCAAAGACAGGGGAGGCTCATCACTGCAGTTCTCAAATATTACTGTAAGAAGTCCAGAGAAAAAAGTTGACAACAGAAGCCTTCATGAAAGGGCCCTGAGAAATGAAAGCAGAAGGTAGTCCCTACGCGGGTGACGTGCAGGTAGCAGGAACATCCAGCGATGCCACTCTGGGTGTTCTAGGTACATGATTAAGGTATTATTTGGAATATAAGGAGCCTCAATTCTCTAAAAGCCTCTGGCAAAATAGGGAGATGGACTCAAAAATATCTAAATTAGACACTCCAAAAGAGATTAAGAACACCTTTCATTTTTTGTCTCAGATGTGAAATGGCTTTTTTTTTTTTTTTTTTTAGGGACAAAGGTGGTCTTTCAAAAGGTCTCTCTTATACAGAGAGACTCATCACAAGATATCTGTCATTACTTATTTAGATTGCACCAAGGCTGAGTAGGCTTTTAGCACTTATCCTTCCATAAGAAAAATACAGCAATTCTTGGGGAACATTTCTTGGAACAGGAGCAGAAAGAGAGAGAAAAAGGAAAAAAAAAAAAAAAAAAAAAAAAAAGAGGGTGAAAATGAGAAATGCATTTTCTTTATTCCTCTACCAGGCGCCAAATGCAATTTCTGAACTCGCAGATGACAGGACTTGCCTGCAAACCCAGGGGAAAATCTCCTTCCCAAGAGATTTGGGGAGACTCGCAGTGGGACTGAAAGCATCCCTGGGGGTCACGGCGAAACGCAGCAGCAAAGGCTCGTTCATGTCTACAGCCAGCAGAGCCATCCCCCCAAAGGCAGCACACACAGCATTTGGCAGGGCTGTCATCAGAGGGGATGCTCTTCCCCAGCACTGCCAATCACACCACGGCCACCTGAAGGCCAGTCACATGGAAGCAGTGACAGCCCAACACCGTCCACAAGTCCGATAACCATCAAAGCTCCCGGCTGGGCAAAAAAAAAAAAAGGTGCCTGACTTGAAAGGAACTCAATACCTGGATTCTTAAAGAAAACATCCGTCTTGCAAGTGACTGCCAAAATCATGGTGCCTCAGTAAAACCAGCCACGCTTCAGACACCTTCCACATTTCTGCTTATTTGCATCACTTGCATATTTTATATGGATGCATGTCTAATAAAGATGAAAAGTCATCGTGGCACATTTGTCTCACATTTTATAACATTTCCTTGACTTTTGGCAACTGACATGGCTACTGCTAAAGGAAAATTTACCAAAGCAAGCAGTGATTTTTCATACCATGAGTGGACATTTTTCACATTAAGACTGCAAACATTTGCAGTTCCTACCACG